CACCAGATGTGCTACCTTCAGAGGACTGGGCTATTGTTTATCAAATTGTTGTTCCCAAAGCGCTTCATTCTGAAATATTGAAAGTTGCCCATGAACTCCCCATATGAGGTCATTTTGATGTCAACAAGACATGTGACAAAATTATGAGGCATTTCTTTTGACCAAAAATTAGGCAAGACGTTTCTCAGCTTTGTAAAACTTGTCATAATTGTCAGTTGGTCGGAAAACATATCTAGAAAATTCCTTTTGCGCCTCTGAAACCTATCCCAGCTTTCAAAGAATGGAAGTTCCGTCCTGAGGACATGGTCTTAGTATCCTTACCTACTATGGGATATCTAGTCAAAAAGAAAAGAAAGAGAGAAAGAAAAATAAAGAAAAACAAAAAGGAAGAGAAAGAAAAAGACAGGAAGAGAGAAAAGAAAAAAGAGAGAGAAAGAAAGAAACAGAAGGATGTTAAATTGCAGTTTATCATCATGAGAATGTGGTTTGAAGATAAGCTATGTCATAAGGGATGACAACATTTTTCCTGATGTACTTTCATGTACTATGAAATTTTACGATCATAAGGTGATTTGTATTGGTTGTGTTTATATACTGTAATTATTATTGAAATTGTATAATCCTTTGAATAATGTATTATATATATAATGTATTCTTGCCAATGTATGTATATTATGTCTTAATTAAACATTGTCTAAAGCCAATTTTTAATTCTCTAAGAAGGGAGTTGTAACGAATTTGTTATATTGTCAACGTTTGTTTAGATTAAATTTCTATTTAGAAACATACATAGTTTATACTGTTAAATATTGTAATGAACATCTTATTATATATTTATTTTAATATTGATGTTGTTTAGATTAAGTTTATATTTAAAAACATGCCTACCTTATAGTGTTAGATGTGTATTGTGAAACTCCCGCCTATTCTCCAAAGTTGTAGAAAATTCCCGAGAGTAGGAATCAACAATATTTCTATATATGCAAACGTTTAAACACGTTGTCCTTTGCCACACACGCTGAGCTCTCCACGATGAATTTATATGTTTTCGTAAAAATACTAATGTCCGATGAGAATCCACTAAAGTTAAACGATTTGTAACGTTCAAAATTTATAAATATTCCTTGTGAAATATCTTAAGTTTTCCGATTGATAAGCATTATAAAAATCACAATTATAGCTTTTGAAGTTTTATAGCACACCGATTATAGCGAACTAATAATAGACACTCTCCTTGGCGCATCGCGTTGGTTGTATTTATAGGAGTGGGAAGATTTTCTAGAAAATTCAGATTACATAACAATACTGAGCTATACTTAAACGTTTGCATATATAGAAATATTGTTGATTCCTACTCTCGAGAATCTTCTACAACTTTGGAGAATAGACGGGAGTTTTGCAATACATATCTAACACTATAAGATATGTATGTTTTTAAATATAAACTTAATCTAAATAACGTTGATATTAAAATAAATACACAACAACAAATTCGTTACATTGTTACTCCAAATTTTGGTTTTATTTACTTTTAAAACAGAACACTTTCGGGGACCCTGCACAAGTACATAAGTCATTAAAATACTCAGGGATGTACATTTGTGCATCTATTGAATGTAAAATTTGGATTTGTTGATATTCTTTGTAGGTGATTTTTGGGGAGGAATAGATTAATATTCACTTTTTCTTCCTCTTTAAGCTTCATGAGTTCAAGAAATCATACAAATTGCAATATTTTATGTACTTGATCCTCTGATTATATTACATATATCCAAGGGTCATAGGCAAACATCTATAATGTAGGGTACTACTTTTGAAGTTCAAATCCCTGTGTGATCAAACATTTTTTTCTCAAAACTTTTATTTAGATACTGAGTGTAATATGTGTTTTATAAGTATATAGGTGCATGTATATCACTGGTAATGTATCTACACTGCAAAAATTAATTGTTTCACACTGCTCTCCAGTGCATGAAGAAGTCTAGGTCATATATCTTGGCCTGCCCAGTTGCCTGATCTTTAATTACATTAACCATTATATAGTATTTTGTAAACAGATTTTACTGAAAATGCTGAATGAATTTAAAGTGCAATCACAGAATATTCAATTTGAAAACTCAACATCTTGAATATATACATTTCCAAACTGAATTATTGATATTCATAAGACTCATTAATGATACAACATTATACCAAACAATTTTAGTCAGTTATTTGTTACACTTTTCATCTGTTTAATCAGGTATTTATGTAATATTAAGAAAATCTATCAAAGAGGTTTGGATGTTTTAGTAAACAAGAAAAATATCTCTTTAAGACACTGAAAAAATTCTATAATTACTTGTAAAATGCAGTTTATTTTATTTGCTTCAGTTACATAATTTTGTGAAATATTGTTTAATTCATATAAGTTCAGCAAAACTTGGATCTTTTTAACAGAATCATGAGACCAACAAGGCTCTTTGTAAAGTAAAATGGTACAAAGTCATACGTGTGTTTTTCATCATACATGATTTATTTAAAAATTATAGAACATTTAACAGAATTATTAATTTGCTAATATATAAATCTATTTTAACAGTTTCAAATAACAGGTTTTGGATCAAACTAATAGTGAAAATATCAATTATAAAGATATTTAATTTTGTGTTTTTTTAAAGTTAAAAAACTAAAGTCTGATTTTAAACTGTTAATTTACAGAATTAGCAAAGAATTAAATGTACAGCTCATATCATGCAATTTAATGGAAATCTAAACTATTAATACTGCTTCAAGCACTGAATACTACATGTTCTAATAACTTCCCTGAATGTATATCACTTATATTTAGACTTTTGTGCAAAATGTTTTGAACTCTAACTGGTGAAATGTGCAACTAACTTTAAAAAATATCTATCTCATCACAGAAAAACTTGGTCCTTTAATTATTTTAGTTTCCACACTTCAACAGAGTAAAGGCAGAAATAAGTTGCTGATGTTCAAACAATAATTATGTATATCTTATTACAATTGAAAAATGTATCAAAAGAGTTTAAATCATGCACTATAATGTAGTATGCAGAAACAATTCTTTAGAAGAATAAATGTTTCTGTTAGACATCTTTTCTGCTACAGAACATGCTAGTTACATTTTCAAATGTCAAGTTTAAAACTCTTTTGGTAATTATTATGAAAGATTATGATGTTGAATGTTTTTGTACTTTAAACATCCAGACAAAAATCATTAATCAGAATAATGTTTTACACATGAATTGATTGTGGTGGTGAAGGTAGTTTATCACATAAATGAGAGTATGAAGAGTATATGTATATATCATTCCAGTCATAACAGCTTTCCAGATTTAATGTAAACTTATAATGCTTGGAAATGGCTTGAATGGGTAATGAAGAAGAACTTTAATATAAGTTTAACATAACAGCAAATGTGCAACATTTCTACAAGGTTTTGTCATAATCAAGTATGCAAAATTAATGCAAACTTGTCTACACAATAAGATCAACAGCTGTGTTTTGTACTGACCATAATATCTAACAGGATTTCAGATTGTTCCTTCAGAAGTATTGACTACAAGACTAAAGAGGCTATAATTTCATTGTATATGTCACTGGTTGGGCCACATTTGGCTCCTTACCTTTGAAGGGCATTAAATTGTTGGAAGGGGTTCAGAGGAGTGCTACTAGATTGATACCAGGAATAGAAAGATTGTCATACAAGGAAAGGATAAGATCGCTGAAATTGTTTTCTATTGAAAAAAGAACATTTAGAGGGGATCTAATTGAGATGTTTAAGGTTGTTAAGGTTAAGTTTGTCAATAGTGTTGATTTTTCCTTTTTTTTGTACTTAATGGTGAAAATGGAAGGACTAGAAGATACAAGTATAAATTTTGACAAGAATAGAGATCATCTTCAGCTAAGAAAGTATTATTTTTCTAACAAGGTGGTTGGCTTTGGAATGGGTTTCCTTTATACGTAGTGGATGTGGTAAATTTAAGTGAATTCAAGGAAAGACTTCATAAATATTTGAATGATAAGGACTGGGACTGAGTGTTTTATTTATACTTTAAAGTTCATTTCAGTGGGTGGAATGGATCAACAGGTCCCTTGTTGGCCTTAAATCATACATAAATATTGCTAAATGGAGCTTAAACATGAGGGAAAATAAAATAACCTACATTTACAGTTGTTGTGCTGTAGAGAATCAATATGTATATAAAACTGTGATAATACTTCTTAAAATTAAGAGAGAGTGAAAATGAAAAAAAATCAACTGTGCTGATCATACATTTCTATATCATACTAAATATTAATTTATATTTGGGACTTTAAGAAAAATTATATTTTGTTTAAGAAGTAAGATATATTCAAGAAAAACATTCACTGATAACATACATATAAATTCAAGTACCAAATCGTTTCTTAATGCAAAGCATTATGTCACAGAAAGTAAGTCATGCACAATTACTATGTCTTCATGTATATATGAAATTAAATGGCCAAAAATGTTTAGGTTGAAAATAAACTGGAAAAAACTATTAGAGAACTTCCATGATGACAACCTTTTCATCACCAAACTCTGTTTTGTGGATTTTTTCAAAGATACTTTTCCATTTTCGTTCCTCACACAGCTTCTCTACATCACTGTTGAACTTGTCTACATCTGTTTCTTCATCAGTTTTCAAAGACCAAGAGATGTATCCTCCTAAAGAGAAGGTTACATATTACTCTTAAATAATCAGTTTATTAACAAGCTTTAATAAAACATACCTGACTGCTAAGGTAACAATACTTAAAACATATTGATTCAATATATGATGATCTTCAGACATTTAATGAATGACTTGACTAAACATTAATGAAAAAGTTATTATAGAGTATCAACATAAAAACTAATAAAACAGATTTATTAGTCATTTCTGGCATTATGGGAAAGTTCTCATATGTTTCTTGAAGTTTTATGCATACAACTGGAGTTGTTTCAAAAAAACTGCAATTTTCATCCTTTCCATAACTAGACTATTTTTCTAATTATTTTGTAAGTATTCTACATGTAGTTAAAGACATTCTTGAAAAGCACATGTAGAAAGAATGTAAAATTGTACTAATTATCCTGCTTGGTCCTGTTTCTTGTTCTGTAGGATCTTGGTTTCTCCTAACAATTAAACAGTAGTTTTAATCATTTCTTCTTATATGTGTAATATTTTCTTACATCGTTATTGCAGTCATTTTGATTAGCAGTTGGGAAATGAAAAAGTTCATTAAAATTCTATCAGAATCTGTTGTAGTAATATATGATTAACAGTTATTAAACAGTTTATCTTTGTTAAACCAGTATGGTTAAGAAAAAATTGGGAAGTTTAAAATATGATAAGGCTCCTGGGCCAGATAATATTTCCCCAGTGGTTTTGAAGAAGATTAAAGATTGGATATGTGAGCAACTTGCTACTATTTTTTGTCAGTCCTTGAATAGTGGGAAGGTACTAGAGGATTGGAAGTTAGCTAATGTAACTCCTCTTTTCAAGGGAGAGGAAAAAAATTGTCCCAGTAATTATAGATCCATTAGTTTTAAATCGATTGTGGGAAAAGTTTTGGAAAGTCTGTTAAAAGATGCTTTGCAAAGTCATTTAACAAAGTTTAGAATTTTATTTGATAGTCAATATGGTTTCACTAAAGGAA